AAACCAGAAGAAAATCTCGTTACCATCACCAATAAACCAGCGAGAATTACCGAGCACCACATTTTTGCAACTATAAATTCCCTTCCAGATTTGTGAAGAAAATTTACCTCCTCTCCCTTTTTTAATCAAATGAGTGAAAGGTTCAAAACCATACTTGTTGCTAAGACATCTTTTCATAGTTGACTGAGGCCTTGAATGATTTTCCACCACCACTTAGAGAGAAGAGCCCAATTCATATATTTAAGCTTTCAAATTCCTAGGCCACCCATTTTCATTGATGTGCAAATTTCATCCCATGCTACCAAATGGAATTTTCTATGGTCGTCATTGAAAGAAGCTGCACATAAACCTTCCAATGATTTTAATAACATCGCTCGAAATTTATAGAATGGATGTGAGATAAATGGGTAGACTTGCATAGGTGGATTTGATATGGGTAATACAACCTCCCAAGGAAAGAGTCTTAGACTTCCAGAATTCCAACTTAACTTGGTATCGCTAGATTAGAGGGTCCCACACAAATCTAGAAAGCCTCGAATCTGAGATATAAACCCCCAAATATTTGAGAGGGAAAGAGTCAATTCTGCAACCAAGAATAAGAGGCAAAGAATGAAGCAAATCACTGGCACACGAAACTCCAACCATAGAGGTTTTATGGAAATTCACTTTGAAGCCAATGGCTAGTTGGCAGCACAAAAAGAAATACTAAGATTTTTAATTATGACTGGATATGTATCACAAAAGATCAAAGTATCGTCAACATATTGTAAATGTGAAATAAAAGACCCATTGGTCCTAGCTTGGAACCCCTCAAGTCTTTTTTTCCTCGCTATATTTTTAAACTTCATACTGAACTCTTCTGCCATTAGGGGAAAAAGGAAAGGGCAAAGAGCGTCACCCTATCTCCCTAAAAGCTTCGAAAAAACCTGTGGGACAACCATTAATTAGGATGGAGAAGTGAGCCGAAGAAAGACAACCCAAAATCCAAGAAATCCACATGGTGCCAAAACCCATACACCTCATAATTTCTTGAATAACCTGTCATTCAACACTGTCAAAGGGATTTTCCATATCCAACTTGATAACCATCCTAGCTTTCCCTTCAAGAGATCTAGAGTGAAGGCATTCTTGCGCAATCAAAATACAATCTGATATGATTCTGTCACGAATACAAGCAGACTATTCACCCGAAACCAGAGAAGGGATGACTACTTTGAGTCTTTCGGCCAGGACTTTTGCAACAATTTTATATAAGCTCGACAAAAGGCTAATGGGCCTAATATCTCTTATGTCAGCAATGATATTCTTTTGGGGAATAAGAGAAATATATGTGGAATCAATGCTTTTGATAATCTTACCACTATACATAAATTCCTTTACCATAGACACGAGATCTGATTTAAGCAATCCCCAAAAACGTTGAAAGAAAACCAAAGGAAACCATCTGGTTTGGGTACCTTATCACCTGCTAGCCCAAAAACAGCTTTTCTCACCTCTTCTTCAGAAACCTCCCTCTCTAGGTCCTCTGCCAAATCAAGAGATAACATTTTGAATGAACCCCATCCCAGATAACCCCAAGATTATGCTCACAGGATAAAGCCTTAAGAAAATGATTGATGATAGCATTTTCTTTACCCAAAATTTTGTGTTATGGTCACCCTCCTTGAGCCATTTAACTTTAGACCTTTGCCTCCAATAGATTTCCTCTAGTCGCAGATAATCATGTAATTGATTTAACAAAATGTTCTTATTAGCTAATAATTCTGCAGAGAACTGTTGTTGCGCTTGAATATGGTTTTCCAACATCTCAAGGTCCATAACAGTAGTATCAATTCTATACTTAATCTGGTATCTAGTAGATTTCTTTCAGGCAATGAGTTTATGGTTGAGCAAATTAAGTTTCCTATGTAGCTGATACCCCGCACTTCCCAAAATAACGCAGTTACCCCAGGTTTGTTTGATCATATCAACTACATCAGGCTCCTCAAGCCAACCAATTTCAAACCGAAATGGCCTCAGACCAGCAATTACTTCATCAGTATGAAGACACAAAGGCAGGTGATCTGAAGAGAGCTTAATTAAAGTGTTGACCTTAGCAAGAGGAAAGACTTTCTCCTATTCGGCAGAAATCATGAATCTATTCAGCTTGGAAAGAATTAAGCGATTGACACTATTATTTGACCAAGTGAAATGTGCTCCAGAAACAGGAAGATCAAGGAGGTTGTTCCTCATAATAAATTCATTAAACATGTGCATTTATGAATTAAAGCGAACAAAAGAGGAAATTTCATCCGGATGCCTAATCAAGTTGAAGTTCCCCCAATACAAATAGGCAGCCCAGAAGAAATAGAGATATTGAAAATGTCATCCAAAAAAGCAGGCTTAAGAGTAAAGTTATTAAGGCCCATTAACATTAACTAGCACCTAATAAAAATTTCTAAGAGGCCCTTTAAAAGTGATAGCAATACATCTATCAGTTTTAAAAACGTTGCAGCACAAAAGAATTGTAGGGTCCTATAAAAACCATAAACCACCAGAACTACCTTAAGTATCAATCCCCTCAAAACAAACAGAACTATTACCCCATATTTTCTTAGCATCCAAAAAAGAGGGACTAGAACATTTAGTTTCCCATAAGAGTAAAGCAAAAGGATGGAATATAGTAACTAAGAAAAGGACCTCTTTTTACCTACGTTCTTCTCCAAGTCCCCGCACGTTCCAACTAATGATCTTCATAAAAAGATGAGATAGTATTCAACCCGTCAAAGCCACCATCTTCGACCGAAGCAGTTGAAGAATGAGAGCTAGAGTTAACCAGGGGCTGATCTTCATTACAAGTGTCTCTAAATGAAATACCACAAGCCACCGAGCAGGGTGTGGTGCATCGAGCTGCAACTCTAGCTGATGAACCAGCTTTCTATTTGTTTCTACAATATAATTTGTGTTTGGAGATATAATTGTCTGATCTTGTTTGAACAATTAAGAATAAGCAAACAATGTTGTATATTAGATACAACCCGAAAAAAACACTTGGCACCCATCAGTGATATTGTTGTCAACTCAAATCTATGGAAATCCAATTACAAAAGATACATATATACATGGAATTCGAATATTTTGATATTAGGTCGGAGGAAATTTTAAAAAGACAAGTAGGTAATTGTGATTTACCAAAAGCATCTGCTGGGAGGCTCTCATATGAAATCCATTGAGACAAAATGGAACGTAAATTTTTGGGAAATTTATTCTTATGTCCCTGATAATTAGTGGTATTTAGAAAATTTGTCATATTTTACATTTATGCTCATGTCCCGTTTTATATTTTTTTACAAAATAACTCGATTTCTAACCATTGATTGCAAACCGCACATTGTAAGGAATTAAAGCAATCGAGAACTAATAGTTCCAAAGTATTCATTATAATGAATCAAAGTGATCTCATAGTATTAGTTCCAGACTTCTCGTTGTAAGGAATCAAAGTGGTCCAGAACTACTAGCTCTAAACCGCTCATTGTAAGGAATCAAAGTGCATAGATTCTTTACAAAGATTTTTTAGGTCAGCATATTGCCATGCCAGATTCTTGTTGTTGAAAACAATTCATTACAAATATCGTATAAATCAAAGCAGTCCAGAACTATTAGTTAATAGTTGCTCACTGGATTTCTAGTGAACCGCCCAAAACAAATAATTTGGAACCCACTGTATTTTGGGGAAAATAACACACGCACAAAAAAAGGAAATAAACGTAAATTGTAGAGTATGAGAGACATTTCTTAATACAACTGATTGTAAGGGATACTTGCATAAATTGCGCTAATTTTTTAAAGAAATTGCTGGATACGTGAACTGAAAAATAGTTTAAACAGCATGGTACTTGGGTACCTGCCTTCATAGTTAGGTGTTCACTGTATTAAATATCCTAGGTTCGTCCCCATGCGGATTTACCAAAAAATAAGACAGTAGTAGACATGAAGTAAAAATAAAAGGAACTGGTCTCGAGAGATCCAGGCCTCTCCCCACCATCGCGTGATCGGCCATGATTGAAAAGCACGAGGGGCAGCAACTCCGACTAGGTTATACCCGAACCAGGACCCGGGTGGTCATCCCAACCCTATTGCCACCCATACCTTCATCTTTGAGGATCATTCGCCAGACCAAAAAAAAACAAAAATGATACTTGACATGTGACCACTTTTGTGAATATATTTTTGAAGATTGGGGATATTGCTCTTGATCATTTTGCAAATTCGGTTCAACATGACAGAGGACTATATACAAATTGGGCTCAATGTAACATCAAAGGGCTGTGTGGTTGGTTATCTACAAAGGCAAATCCTAACAAAGCCTGCTCCTTCCCAAAAACATAGTTACGAGGATTTTGGAGCCCCAAATTTCGGAATTGGCCCCACTTGGTGCTCAAGCCTAAAAAACAAAGGGAATTTTTAATGCATACCTTAAATGCCTCAAATAATTGCACCAATAATGAATAAAGATTATTTATATTTTGGGCAGTCAGATCTAGGTCTTAGATGGCACATTTTTTATTTAAATTGTTCATTTGGCGGTAATAAGGCAATCTACAATTAGAACCAAACAAACCCTTGAAGTATTAAAACATTTAGAGTTAACAAATCCCTGAGACCTCGATCTAACAGCATTTTAAAACACCATAGATGGACCTCCCACAGTCATTACATTTTCTCTGTCATAAAAGAAACCATTCTCTGGGTTTCTCTTTATGTTTTGAAAAAAAAATTCTAGTTATCTGGTTTGTCAGATCCCAATGCCCGAACAAATGTCTCTTCGACCCACAAAAATTATGTGGGGTGAAAACTACGATGGCCCACCCTAGGACAGAGTAAATCTCTTTCCTAGTTAAACATCGTGGAAGAACATGACATGTTAATAAAACATCAAATAAGTTTAGAGACAACTCTTTCTTATGAATGATTAAGGCATCACATCCAATGAAATAGTTTGAAGATATGTAGAGAGTCTAGAAAGGAATAACAGATTACTTGAAGTACAATACGGCAGCTCACAACATCCAGTGTAAGGGGCCAAATAAAGCGAATAATGGACTTTGCTCAACTACTATGAATGGATCTGGCAGCAGACACATTAGCGTACTTCCTCAGAAGACAAATACCTATAAATTCGACACCGAATTCTTGACAGTCGTAGCAAATAGGTGTCTCACAATATAGACATACATTTCTTCTACAAAATGAAACAAAATACACCTTTTGAGTGTGTAACATCAATGAACCAACCAAATCTTGTCATTTCAAATGAATTCTTAGAGGGTTCCCCCAAATAATTTCTTCAGGTAAGTGTTTCAAAGAATGGAAGTTACAAGTCTTGTTGCAGCCTGCTAGGTGCTTCTGGTGAGGAAGACTGTCCCGACTCACCTTGATTTTGATTTGAAGAGCTAACATATGTTTCTTCTGAAACTTTGTCCACTCGAGGAGATGCGTCCCCATTTTGAGTTGCAAGATTTCCTTCAGTGCTTACATTAGGGATATCAACGGACCTAGGAGGGAGTCCCCTTACTATAGGTGAGGGAGCAGAGGCAAGGAGACGGCGAAGTCCAGCAAATGAATCCTTGAAATCTATAATTGCAGCTCCACCAGGATAACATCGACCGAAACACATAACACAGTATGGGCACACAACCTACCCAAGATGTAAATAATGCAATTCTTAACTTTCGAGTTTTGATACACATCCACACACGCACACAGAGAGAGAGAGAGAGAGAGAGAGGTGGGCTGACAAAAAGGATGATATTAATAAGTTTGAGAATACAGATGCCCTGTAATCTTGAACAAGCACCATAAATGATCCTCACCTCAATGAAAGTGCGGCAGAGTGAAAGAAAAAGAGTGGATTCGTTCTCTCTAAGCATGCGAGTGGCATTATACCTCGTCAGGGAATCTGAGACAGCCTGTAGAGCTCTCACGACTTCTTGAGCAAGAGCATGTTTTAAGCTTAAAGGTGCACATGGCCGTAGCTCGTTCAAGGCTGCTGATACACCTGAATTAAGAAAACAAAGAAAATATGGAATGTCATAACCGACCAATGCATGACAAAGGGGTAACGCATGCAGGAAAGAACATGCAAGCAGCAAACATAAACTCGTAAAGAAAATGTGTGGGTAGGGGAAAAGATTTGGTGCTCCCAAGGGAGCAAATGGTATGCTTGCTCTAGAGAAACACTTACTTAGGGAGATTTGTTTGATTCCAAACTTTCACATCATCTTTATTCATGCCAGCTATCAATCAAAATGAAAACTTTTATACCATAAAAATGAACAGAATGAATGTCTCTCCAACTATAAATGTCCTCCATCCATTTGCTGGACAGTCAGGTCTATGTTTCCAAATCGCAAAAACCAGTTTCCTTTTTCCTTAGGAAAATTTCAGATTAAAAAATATCCTCCTGACCCGAGAAGGTAATTTGCCCACGAAAGCGAGAAAGCAAGTGTACAACTTGCTCCTCTGGGACCATGCTATATACAGCAGCCTCCCAACCACAACCACCCAACCCAACCCACCCCACCCCACCCCACCCAAAACACACATGTACCCACACACAAACACACAAGAATTTGGCACCCTAGTTAGAAATGCATGTTAGGGGGGTCCTTAGAACCCCCCCAAGTACCAGGGATGTCCACTACTCATCATAACATCATTGAATTCACACCTTAGAAAGCCCAAAAACATTCAACCCAACAGTGAACACAGACTATCAATTTTTTTAATGATCAGGTTGGGTCATAAAGAACTCAAATCAGTTTTTCTTATTCAAAATTGTTCATGTAGAGATAATAGCCGACCCCAAATAATTGGGATAAGGCTTGGATGATAATAATTACCGATCCCAAATAATTGGGATAAGGCTTGGATGATGATGATTATGATGATGTTCATCTAGCGATGATGCGTCAATCTAAAGAAATTAAAGCATTAATATAAAACCAGTTTTCTCCCTTGAAAGGCCCGTGATCACTGCATTCTCTCTCCTTAAAAAAACTGTTTCCTAAATTTTTTTCAAATATTTTTTTATGATCTTGTTTCAGTTCCAAGAGAGTATGTGCAAAATTTGGTCCCAAACAAATGTCTCGAAGCTCCTAAAAATGATGTAGGGCTGTAATTGTAGCCGTTTGCCCTAGTGCAGACCAAATCTTTCAGAGATATAAATATAGGCTCCTCTGGAGGTGGAGGCACATTGCCAACAGCGGCTGTTCACCATTGTCAGATGTTTTTCTTTAGAAAGGTCACCATTATCAGCTGTTTTTGTGGATATAAACCAGTGATGGCATTTATCAAGTCCAAAAGAATTGCAAGAAGCTCCAAACCAGAACGTTAACACCTCTTATTTTGTACAATCATGTGAGGATTGAGCATGCAAGCAATGATGAACGGGTGAATGCTAACTCAAAAGGGATCGTGGTCATAAATGGAGCAGCATACAAATCTCCAAATGAAGTGCACACTTTCACAATAACTAATATGCTGTCAGTCATCTTATCTGGGGTTTGTTTCCAGGGATGAATGCATGCCCATTGATTTAGAATTGCCTACTTTTAACTATTTTCCTCTGGAGAGTTCTAGGGAGACCTCTAACCTTAGTTACAACCACACAATTGCTGGTTCAACTATAGGATTCCCATGATAAGGTAGTAACGTCTATATCAAGTTAGATATGATGGCTTAATTGGAAGTTCCCTTCACCAGTCTGAAAAGAATCGGAATGGTCCTGCAATAGCCAGCCATTAAACTCCCTAAAATTGTCACCGGGAAGTGTTTTTGTATTTAAAGTGAGGAGCTCCCTCTTGGAGAGGGTGGTTATCATGTGAAGAAAGAATTTGTGTTGAGATCTTGTGAAAAGATCGTTCGGGGTGGATTTCCTTGCAGACCTTGAGAGAGGGTACATTCACTCGTTGGGGCTGGATTTCCTTGCAAACCCTGAGAGAGGGTATATTCTCTCGTTGGGGGTAGATTCCCTTGCAGACGTTGAGAGAGGGTATATTCTCTCGTTAGGGTGGATTCCCTTGCAGACCCTAAGAGAGGGCATATTCTCTCACCTTTTGTTATTATTTTATTTTAATTATTTCTTCTCCCCATCTTGCCTGCATCACGGAGTCTATGCCTGATTATAAGGTTGGAAACCAACACCTCATCAGACAAATATAATGCAACATCTTAGTTCCCTTCAAGGAATCTTGACACTTGCATTTGTTATATGATTAATTTGCTTCAGTGGAATGCAATGGGTGCCATCAGGTACACAACTTCTAGAACTTTTATGCTCTATGGTGTCTTCCAGATGCCCACAGGTAGTTGCCTTAACAGAATCCACAACTCATGATATTGTCATCTGGTTGATCACTTGGTGAGAATATTTGGGGTGAACTAGTGGATACCAACTCAGATGGCAACTGCGTCATAGTTTCCCTTTCTGAGATGGAATGGTGGATCAGGTTGCCCTATCCTGAAGCCCATCCAGGAAGCTACATATCATTATACAGTGTCCTGTATGTATCTTAAAATGTATTCCAATCTGAATGGGAAATGCAGGTACTATGAAAGTCAAATCCTATGAAATCATTAGCCAATAGGGCCACTCTTGGCTCATTTTGGGGGGTAGCCTACATGCAAAGGTCACCAACTTACGCTGCTACAGAAAAGGATAAATTTGATACCGAAGCACCATTAGATAGTATCATAGAAACTCAAAACCCTTCCTATTACATGCTAACAAATTTTAAAGCGGAGATTTAAACTGTTGTAAAGAATCAAACTGTTATTGAAACTACATACAAATTCATGATAATTCTTTAGAATATAAATTCAAATTTCATGCATGTAATGCCACGATTTCATAATAGAAGTGCCACTTATCATAAATGGGGCAAGTCTGCAAAACAATATTAAATACAATGAACTTAAGCTTACCGTTTACAAATACGGCAATAGGTGGATGTTCCATTAAAGAAGACGGTGGAGTCACATCATCATGACTTTCATCATTACCAACTCGGGTTGTAATACCCACAGGTGGCAGTGGAACCCAACGGTGTGAATCCAAGACAATCTGCACAAATGATAACATTATATCAATATCTCTGAATTGGCAACCAAGAGTCTAACAAAAGATAAAAGAATTTCTATAATGAACAATGCTACCGAACCTAATTCATCCATACCTACACCCTACAAGTTCAGATTAGCAGCATGGATCAGTGAATGGATCCTTAATTAATTGATAGTACTCCACGGCTCACCATGTTCACATTGTATCAAGTACTAAAAATTAAGTCTAATAAAACTTACAAACCTGAAAATTTTCAACTGCCGTACTCATATTTTTTGAGAATAGATTATGTACTGCTCTGTAAAAATAAAATAAAAACAGGTCAGACTCATACTTGCGAAAATGATACGTGACAATAGAACAAGGAAGCTTGAAATCTTTACTCTTCAAAAAGTGGAGGGAGTAAGCCTCGGAAATCCAGACCAGCCCATCCAAGACCCATAGCACAATACTGCAAGAGAAAATCATGTTCTTATCAAAACTGCCTATTCGAACATAAAGTGAACATTACCATATCCCAGAAGATAAATAGTTTCTCCATTATACTGATTGTTGAGAAAAATCAAGTGTTTATCTATTTCCTCTTGTATTAAGTCCCTGAGGACATTGCCGTTGTTTACAAAATGATTTTGTTATTAAATTAACGGATATAAGTGGGGCGTAGAGGTCAGTAAGAAAACCACAGTGACTCTACTCTCTCCTCTCTCTCTCTCACGTGACCTTCTCTCTCACTTCTCTAGACCTTCTCTCTCACTTCTCTATCTCTCCAACTTCCTCTCTCTTCAAAGTTCTTTATCCTTCAAACACTTTGTTAATTTTCATCATACAATTTTGCTATATTTTAACTTGATATCTTTTTTTCCAGTTGTTAACTGTTGTATTAATAAAAAGAGAATTACAATGTACTAGCGAGACAGCCCACAGGCCAGTCTTGCCAAAAAATGGGCTAACCCAAAAAGGCCCTATACAAAAAATGGGTGGGGCTTATAAAATGTGCCCACTACATAAGATAAACAGAGGGAAACAATGGATCCACAAAAACGAAACCACAAAAAACAGAGGTGGGAGAATCCAAAGTAAAAGAAACCGGTCCTTGGGCTCTTAAGGATCCACGTCATGAGCAGTTGCACCTTCCTTAGCCAGTTGGTCTGCCAGGGCCTGTCATTCCGTCCAAGTATGCCTTCATAAAACAGTCGTATCCTTGCAAATGTGCATAATCTTATCATAAATCGAAGCTAGGTACCAAGGGGGGGCTGACTTTCCAGAAGCCCACAAGATAACATCTGTCTGGGAATTAGAGTGGCCAATAGACTTGGAGAAAGTGGCCAGTATGTTGCCTCCGTGGTCTTGGAAGGCACCTCCTACGCCAGCTGGGCAGGGGTTTCCCAACGAGCACCTGTCAAAATTTAGTTTTGTAAGGCCAATCGAGGGTGGAGACCAGTTGTTGGCGCAATCAACTCGAGGAGGTTGAAGGTGGAGGACAATTTCCCAATTTTGTAGGAAAGTCGCAGCCGAGATGCCTTTGAAAGCCTTATGATTTGAAGCCTAGAAAATGACTTGAGCAGTAATCCTGTGGAAGAGGACCGAGGCTTCACATCTGGCTCCTCGGAAAATCCTTGAATGTCTTTCTATCCAAATGACCCAAATGGTAGCTGCCATGGAGGCTTTCCAAAGTAGCCTGCCTGCCTTTGGCCAATGAGAGTCCAATGAAATAGAAAGGAGGGCCAGAAGGGACTCCAGTGTGACCCAAGATAGGCGAAGAGAAGAAGGATGCAACTCCAAAGGTTGGAAGCTAGGCTGTAATGTATAAAGAGGTGCGGGTTGCTCTCTTCTTCACAAAGGAACATGACGCACTGGTTCAGGATGGGGATGCCCTTGCGTTTTAATTAATTGACAATTGGGCGCCTTCTCGAAGCACGCTATCAAGTTGAGCGCTCGTACTTTAGGTGGGGCTATAGTGGACCAGACCTTGTTTACCACCAAAGTAGGAGAATGAGGGAAGATGGGTGGTTGCATCAGTTTTTTGTAGAAATAAGCAACTAAGAAGGCACCAGCGGGTGAAGGGGTCCACACAAACCTATCTGATCCAGAGAAAGCCAGAAAAGTTAAGTGTAGCAAAGAAGAGAGAGAGAAAGTTTGAGGCCTCACTATCAGAAAGGGCCCTTCTGAAAGAAGGGTTCCATACCCTACGGCTGGCCGAGATGAGCATCTCTTCCTCAATAGATGAGGTCGGATTGGAGGCCAAGGAAAAGAGAGCATGGAAGGTATTCCTCAATGGAGTGATGCCCACCCATAAATCTGACCAAAAAAGGGTTCTGTCACCTCCCTTAGGATGGAATCGAATGTTTTGTTTGGAAATGGAGAAAGAGGACATCATATATTCCATGCCCCAGATGTCTTAGAAGGAACAGACCCTTCCGGGAGCCAAAGAGCAGGGTGGATTCTATATGTACTATGAATTACTTGGGTCCAAAGTGTGGTTTGCTAGTCGCCACTACCATTTTCCGAGAAGGGCGGAGTTCCATTTTCACAGAATTTGAATCCCAAGCCCCCAGCCCCCCCCACCCCCCCACCCCACCCCCCGATGCTTCGGTTGGTAGACTTTATCCCAAGAGATTAGATGGAACTTTTTGGATTCAGCATCCGCGACCAAAGGAAGTTTCTCATAAGCTGTTCGAGAAGATTAGAGACTGCCGCAGGCATGTGGAACATGGACATAAGGTACACCAGGGTGTTAGCCAGGGTGGCCTTAATAAGTGTCAATCTGCCAGTAAAAGATAGGAATCTCCCTTTCCATCCTTCTAGCCGGCGATCAACTTTATCAATAATGTGTGACCACTATCCTTTTTTAGGTTGCCCAAGCCTAAAGGCATCCCAAGGTAAGTGTTCTGGTGTATGTAGGGGTCAGGGCCACCCCAATCATTGTGGATTTCCCCATATTAACTTTAAAGCCAGTGGCAAACTCGAATTATCTGAAAAGGAGACGTAGGGTCTCAATCTCCTTAGGGACTCCATCGATGAAGACGAGTGTATCATCGGCATACTGTAAGTGGGTGACTGTAGGGCATCTAGGACTGCTTTTAAAGCCTGAAAGAAGTCCAGCTTGGTATAGTTGTGAGATGGATTGGCTGAACACTTCTGCTGATATGGCAAAGAGGAATGGAGACAGGGGGTCTCCTTGCCAGCACCCCATCTAGAATTTCCCTATCTTTAATGAAGGAACTCTGGAAGGGAGAGAAAACAAAAAGTAGGACCTCTTTAAGCCTCGAGGCGAGGACTTTGGAGAGTATCTTATAAGAGCAATTGACAAAACTGATTGGTTGAAAGTCTTTTAGTTCCTCTACTACTTCAATCTTAGGGACTTAAGCAATGAAGGTAGCATTCATTACTTTGTGTAAGAAGCGCCAGTGGAACAATTCTTCAAAGAATTTTAGGAAGTCAATCCTGAAAGTGTCTCAGTAAATATTGAACGGAGCTACTGAGAAACCGACCAGGCCTGGAGCTTTGTCTTTCCCCTGGTCTGTGACCACAACCAGGATCTCATATTCTGAGAATGGATGTTCTAGCCACTGGACCCAATGGAGGGAATGGAGTGAAACTGAAGATCACCCATCCTAGGTCTTGGGTCCGAGGGGACCGAGTAAAGTTCTGCAAATAAGAAAGGATGGCGGCTTCGATTTCGGGTGGTTGGTCCAAGATCGTAGTACCATCCTTGATTGTGGCTATGGAGTTGTCCCTACGTCTGCCATTTGCAATTTTGTGAAAGAAACCAGTATTATTGTCCCCATGGTGCAACCATTTAACCTTGGATCTCTGATGCCAATGAATCTCCTCTTTCTTGGGAGTGAAGAAGTACTCCTTGTGGAGTGATCTAAGATTGGCTTCAAAGGTCGAGAGGTGGTGTGATTCCTCCAAGAGATCAAGATATTGAATGGAGACAAGAAGAGTGGACTTGTGATGAGAGAAGTTACCAGGGATGGTTCTACTCCAAGCTTTAAGGGAAGCCTTAAGGAGTTGGATTTTAGTTTCCCGAGACCAAGGGGGAAAAAGAGTCCCACCACAAGGGGATTAAAGAAGACAGAGAAGTCTCTTCCAGCCATGAGAGCTCAAAGCAAAAAGGTCTAGGACCTCTCGGGATAGCAAGGGTATCAAGGAGAATGAGGCAATGGTCGAAAGAAGGCGTGGGAACCAAGGAAATCGTCATCCCAACTCAAAGACAAGACAAACCTATCGAGTTTAGTAAGGGTAGGATTAGAAGCATGATCCGAACAAGTAAAAATATTTCCCAGAAGAGGGACATCCTGAAGCTCAATGCGGGATATAAAATCCGAGAAATCCAACATCCCTTGCGAGATGTTGCAGTTAGAATTTCTTTCAAAAGACCATCTCATTATATTGAAACCCCCCCCTAGGCACCAGGAGGGGTGAGGGAGGGTGGCCACTTGATCAAGTTCATCTCAAAGCAAGAAATGTTGAGCCACTGAGTCGAGGCCATAAATGGTCGTAAACTTCCAAAGATACCCGTCCGAGATCCTGGACAGGAGAATAGTTACAGAGAAGTCCCCTAAGAAGGAGAAGACAAGAGAGTGTTGGGCGCAATTCCAGATGACACAAATAGCCCCTACTGCAGGCAGGGAGACCCCTTGCCTCGGCCTGCATCCCCAGACCTGGTGAATAAGTTGGAGGGAAGCGTCGGGTTGTTTTGTCTCAGTGAGGGCCAGGATGGTAGGTTGTGCTTGGCGCATAGGTCACGTGCTGCTTTACGTCTGAGATCTTGTCCCAATCCCCTTACATTCCATGATAGAATCTTCATGAGGACATGAGGGGGTTGTGTGAAGGTGCCAACCTGGGGGACCTTCTAGGGAGAGAGTCTAAAGTGCTAGGCTGGGCTATAAGCGCAATGGGCTGCCTCAAGGAAGATTGTTTGTCATAGTTTATCCTAGAATAGAGGTTGAGAACCTCCCTTTGTCCTTTAATTCTCACCTTAAGCATGCTTTGAGCATCTGCCTTGAAGAAACGATGGAGCGGGCCTTCTGGGTCGTCATAGTGGGAAGCCCATGACTCTAAGCAATTCCTTGAAGTCAGCCTGTCCGTGGTCAATGTCGTCCACAAAAGCAGAGTCCATCAAGAAAGCCGATAGAGGGGATTGGGATGAGATTCCCAAAGAAGGGTGAGAGAGGCCTGAACCAGTAGGTACGAAAGGAAAAGCAGGGGGCTCATCAAAAGGGTTGGAGGGGTTGGCACTGAGATGGACAAGGGAGGATGGAGGTCAACCTGCGGCAAGGAGAGCAAGAGGTATTGGTTAGACAGGAGAGAGTAGGGTGGTGGAAAATAAGGTGACGGGGGGGAAGGGGGGGGCAGTAAGAGTAGGTTGGTACCGAGGTCCATAAGGTTGGGGCCAAAAGAGGAGCCGAAGGGCCAACCGAGGGTGGTTGAAAGATGGAAGTACAG